GAGGCATTTATTGAGGCGAGTGACAAGTATGACGGCGCCGAGATATTGGGACAGAAAAAAGTGTAGGTTCCAGCAGCCACGCATTTGGAGAGATCCGATGTGCTCCTCAGAAATCCGCTGTCGCTCCAGCTGCAGCAAGGATATCTGTTGATTTTTGGCAGGTCTGGCTCTGTATTTGCCGAGTTTCGAGGCATCAATCGTGACTTGGCAGCTTTGTGACTTGGAGATGCCTTGGTCTTTTTTTTTAGCGTCTCAACAAGTTGCAAATCGATGTTACAATCTACCGTCTGGTAAACTAACATAGCTATGGAAAATCACTTTTTTTTATGGGTAAATTCCACTATAAATGGCCATTTTCAATAGCTATGTTAGTTTACCAGAGGGTATGAGTAACTCAAAGCAGTTCACCTCCGAATTACTGCATCACCACACGGTTTTTTTGGCCAAGTGGCCATTGCAAGCAGCGCTTGAACCGGTGTTCACGTTGGCAAACTCCTAGAGATGTCAATGTGTCAAACATGGCTTGCCGACCAATTGACACGGAACAGACTCCCAATCCAGTCCAATCCTCTCTTTCTTGGAGAAAAAAACAAATGTTGCCTGCATTTGATGATCATTCCAGGGAAGTTGAAGACACAAGTCAAAATCGGCAGGAGAAGGTGTTCCAGGCGCCAAAAAATTATCTAAATTCAAGTAAAGTTATTGTCTATGTTATAAGTAAGTGATAGTTGTTATGAAATCTTATAATTAAGTATCTAAATCTAGTTATAATACCAATGAATATCAATATTATCCATTGATATAATAGATTGATGTGTATTCGTCATTGCGCACAGTCATTGCGCTAGTCTTTCGAGGCCGCAGTGGGCATCACAAGTTCAAGCCCACAATCTTCATGCAGCTGGGGGCCGGTTTTTTGCTCCAATCAAAATCTGCTTGGTGGTTCAATGGATTGGTTTAAGGGAAAATTTACAGGAAAACATAGATTTTCCCATTAAATATGGGGCTTTCCTGTAAAATTTCCCTTAATCCAATCCATTGAGTGGTATATCTACCCCTCTGAAAAATATGAAAGTCAGTTGGGATCATGACATTCCCAATATATGGAAAGTCAAAAAATTCCATGGTTCCAGTCACCACCAACCAGAAATGGATCAAACTGTTCCTCGCCGCTCTCGCTCAAAGCAAATGGATCGAGACAATCGATGGTCGTGGTCCTTACCGGTGCTTTGTGATGCCAAGTCTGGCGAGTCTGTATCTGGCAATTTCGTAGCTGGACCGGCTGCCAGATTCATGGAACAATCTGGAACAATACAATTCGGATCAATTCACAATACCAAGCAGAGAATGCAAATATCATTGTGTGCAAACAGGCCGCGATGATGTTGTTGATGTCATAGTGGCCTTAGCTGCGAGGAGCTATAGCTCCCACAAAGTACCTGTAGTGTATGAAGATGGTTACGGCCTAGCCGGCCGTCACCAGGATAATCTCATGGCAAACCACCCAGCACATGACGGTTGGTCCATCAAAATGAACCGTTTGTCATCCCTGAATCTATGGACAAAACCAATTTTCGCCACATTGGATATGACCGCTGCTGTGAATTTTGGGGTCTGCTCCTTGCGTTAGGATCCTGACACAAATGAAAAGACTCCGTTGCAGGTGGGGTGTCCCTATCACTGAAAGCCTTGGACTGCCCGAGTTGCAGTACTGGTAGTCACACTGGTTGACGTTCCTGTGACCGATGTGCCTCGGACCACCACGAACACTGCGTCCAAACACACCCCAAACACACCCCCTTTCGCCCCCTCATAAGGTGCCCTTGTGTTTGCAACACTGGCCGCTACTATCTCAGGGGTCGAGTCTTACGAACAAACAGCGTGCCGCAAAGTCAATCAAGTGTTCAAAATGCATTGGTCCATTGTTTTTCTGTCCAAACGGGCTCAAGAGAAAGGCTTCTGAAAGGTTCCCCTCCAGCATGCCAGCAGTGCCAGCAGTGCCAGCAGTGTCAGTGTAAGTTGCCGAGAGCTCCCTTGTTGCTACCAAGGTGCTTGTGAGTGATGTGGTTGAGATTGATGTGGTGGTAATTGTCGTAACAGTCAAAGAAGTGCCTTGCCAAAATCTGAACGATTCTGATGGCTCACAGATCGATCATGAACAAATGCTTTTTGTGGCTGAGCCAAGCACAAAAACAGAAGCATATCTTGCCCTCACTTTGCAAAGAAAGTTTCCCATGCGGTACCGGATTGACAATATATATATATATACATATATATATATATTATATTATATATATATTATATATTATATTATATTATATATATTATATTATATTATATATATATATTATATTTATATTATATTATATATATATATATATATTATGTTTGAACATGCGGAGGAAATTGGCCAACCTATCTAAATGTCAACGAGACTTCTGCTTGACACACTGCGTAACAATTCGCCCGCAACAGTCCATCTCTTTGAAACATGTTGAGAAGAGGAGGCTCAACTTGCCCCAACATAGAGCCGACATGATGAACAAAACAAAGAGGGTACACCAACACAAATTGTGTTTCCATACTGCTTTGAACCTTCGAATGCAAGCAACAAATTGACTTAAATGTTTACAGACCACAGCAGAACCGGAATCGTTCACATCTTTCACATCCTTTCACCCCTTCCAGTCACTTTCAAGTTTGTGGAGAGTCGAGAATGGAGGAAACAGCTTCAGTTTGCTCCAAGGTGCTAGTCTGCGTAGTTTCTGTGGTGGTCATTGACGTGGAAACAGTCGCCGAAGTCGTGGTGTTCACTGATGTAGTTGTCCACGTTGTGACAGTCCCGGTGGTTGATGTGGTTGTGATTGTGGTCACAGTCACTGAAGTTGTTGTCTGCGTAGTGACCGTGGCTGTGACAGAAGTTGTGGTGAGAGTCGTTGCAGTAACGGAAGTGGTAGTAACAGTGGTAGCAGTCGCTGATACAGACCTAAGTGCGCCGGCGTCTACACATAACTGACCATACATGACAGGCCAAAACGCATGTAAAAGCATCCAGGATTCTCCCACCCTGAAAATGTTCATTGTGAGAGACAACATGCCCCTGGCATGTCACATACTCACAGTGGCTGCAGCAATTCCCCCACGAAGAAATGTGGCAAAGGCTTCCAATGAACGATTTCTTTCAGTGATGCCATTGCAAGCAGGTTTTTTTGCAGCCTGGGAGACGTGGTGGTAATCGTGGTTGTCGAAATTGAAGTTGTGGTAATCGAGGTTGCGGTCATTGACGTTGTCGTCTGTGTGGTGTCTGTCCCTGATGTGGTCGTCGACGTCCCCCTGGCACCGATGGCGGATGATGGCGGATGCATGGCTGATGCAAAGCTGGCAGCCAAGGCGCGTCGCAGTCGCTGTGGTTGTCGTGGTACACTCGTCATTGCCCATCCTTCAACGAACCAAAGTGGCCAAAATGGACAAAGTATGACAAAGTATGACAAAGTCCAAGTGTTCATGCTCAAAAGTCCGTCAACCCTTGGAATCATTCGGAAATCTCCAATGTAACAAAGGAGGTCAGTTTCCTCTGCCTAAAACATTCCAAACCCACTTCACACTTCAGGGCGAGGTTTGCAACGTCTATATCGTCTATCTCCAGATTCTAGACATACTACACGGAAGCTGTTTCCGAGAGCAAGCAGAATAATAAACACCACACATGGAACAGGAAATCTGGAAATACTTCTGGACGAGCTTCGATTTCACCAGCATGCCGGGCATTGGGTTCATGGTTGAAAGATATCCGCTCCAGCATGATGTCCTGGGTACAACATCGCACCACAACTGCACACAGGGTTGACAAGTCGAGTTTGACCACTTCCAACTTCAGGTTTGCAGTGGAGTCATCAAATCTTTTGTCATCTTTTGTCGTTCAAGCCCTGCACGTTGCCGAGCAGAGTGAGGAGCACAAAATTAACACCGCGACTTTCATCATGGCTCCTGCCGAGATTTTGCCAGGGGGCAAACGCTAATCAAAATTTGTGGATTCTGTGGAACGCGAGCGCGAGCAAAAAAAAGGGGCTGGGTATGCTGGGTCATCTACATTCATCTACAAATATCTTCGGAAAATTGTCCGCCCAGCCTGGCGGTGCCAGCTCCAAAGACTGCTAACTTTGTTAGGCCCTCACACTGCCCACGTGCGGTGCGCCCAGGTGAGCCCAATGGCGGTACGGGGAAGGGCGGAGGGTTGGAAGGAAGATTTGATCACATTTTTCCAACATACCTCCATGATGCACGTCCATATCCATCAAAATCATCCGACAAAAGGGACCGCTCTATTGCCGCTCTCTTGAAAGGATTCACGGACACTGCCAATGCCTTCACTTTTCACTTGGCTGGGTTGGTCAGTTCAAACGCTCCAGAACTTAAGCTCTCGTTTGCTTGGAAGATGTCATGGACGACTAAAGTCACCTGATACAACTAAGCACGGGGCCTACAGTGTTTTGGCCAAACGAAAATTGGATCTCCACAAACTCGGAAATATATGCATAATTCATAATATATATATATATTATATTATATTATATATATATGTATATATCATATATATATATCTATAATATATATATATATCATATATATATAATATCTATCATATTATACCGCTACCTGATATCGTCATGTATCCTCGTTTATCGTCGTTTATCGGTGTTTTTAAGTCATGCAATGAAATTCACAGCGTCACATGTCGATCATCTTCCCCTGGCGTTGTGCACTGTTGGATCTGCTCTTAGAGCTGGGAGCCGGAGAGCTCAGTGCGTGATTTGCACCGATGAAAAGCACCGCGATTGACATCGAGAGCGGTGCTGGCGGTGCTGAAACTGAAACATTTCAGCGGCGACGGCTCCGCCAGCCGTGTAGATGCCAATGAGCCCGAACATTTTTAATGAGATTCCACAAAGAGGTCATCTGTCCATATCTGCCCATATCTGCCCATGAGACAACTTGGCATTGCAGTGCCACGTTTTGTGAACCTCATCCTTTCGAACTGCTTGATCCGCCCAAAACAAACAGCGAGTCCTTTGCATCGGTATAGAGGGGTGGATTTCGTCAAAAGGGTCACATATGGACCCCATCAGGCGGAAATATTGTAAACAGTTTCTGGGAACTTTGTGTGCAGTTTCATGCGACACAAAATGCCAAATTCCGCTCAGAATCCATGACTTTCAGAGACCTAAGCACGTGCCCCGCGCGGGTTGGGTTCGTCGCTGTATCTTCATCTCCCGGAACTGGTCACCTCTAAGTCTTTAAGTGCCAGGCTGAGTCACTGAGATTGATCTTCGGCTTCGGATTAAAAGCATTGGTCCCAAGAATCCTGTAAAAGATTCCCAATTTTTGTTCCTCGGATTTCTGAAGCTGAAATGAAAAATATCTTTCAGTCACATTCAATCACAAAAACTCCAACTGGTTTCTTTTTGTGCACGGAGCAATGTGCCACCAGGCTTCATCTTCACCATGCAAACTGAACCAAGATAGCAATGGCCAGTGGCAACGCCTCATGTCAACATCTCTCCTTTTTTTTAAACAAACACTGGCGCTGCAAATTGCGCAGAGCATTGCTCGCTCTGTCAATGCTCACTGCATGTTGGTCTAAACGAATGTCGTGGATCAACTTAGAGCATCTTAGATCCTTACAAACTGCAACTTCGTGCAGTCGTCAGTGCCAATGCCAAGATCGACTCCAGAAAGGTCCGACTCAGTCAAGGCAGTCGGATTAGTGCCCATCGGAATGTTTTCAAAAGGACCCACGGCTGCTGGAATTCGATGGAATTCGACCAGTCTAAACATGTCTAAACACCAAACATCCACCTTGTGCTAAGACGTTTTTTCTGTTGAAGTGTGTTCACAGAGGGTCCATGAGCATGAAGACATACGAAGACCACTATTCTGAGGAAGGGGCAGTAGTGGTTCCGGTGGACTCAGAAGAGAAAGCAGGTTCAGACAGAGTTCAACAGCATTTCAACAGCTAAGTGATGTGATTAAATTCAGCTGTGGCATCCAAGCTGCAATCTTGAGAGTCCCAGAAGAGCTGCTATGCGATTTACTACATGACCATGGCTGAGTGTCAAACAGTCACTGTGACCACGGTGGTGGTGACAGTCACTGTCGTTATGGTCGTCGAGGTAGTGGTCAAATCGACCAAGTCAACGACAAGTCCTTTATGGGGCATTGAAAATTCTGTGATGGCTTCAAACATGTTCAAACATGTTCAAACCTATCCAGAGATCATCAAGAGATCATGAAAAACGGCCAAAAAAACAAAGCCACACAGCCAAGTAGCCATCGTCGAGGCGATCCACCGTTGTGTTGGTGCCAGCTGGCAGAATGACGATTTTGTTGTATGCCTCTGTGCGCAATCTTCGTTTGCCTCTAGAAACATATGCCAAATTGCACTCCCTATCCCTTGGATTCCCTTGGTTCCCGGGATGAGACTCAGGCGAAATTGGGCAAAGAGAGGTCCACTTCGTACTTTGTGGTCTCGCAACAATCTGACGCATTCGCACCTGAAGAAAATGTCTCGGGTTCAATTTCCCTGTGGTTTGAAGTCATGAAGAAAAACGTCTCACAAAACCGAGCCACTCTTGGCCACAACAGCAAGGGGCGTAGCTCCTGTTGGAATGTACCCGCCTCAGTCCAAACAAGGAACTCCAGTTTGGGGTTGCAGAAGATCAGGGTTGCCACCCTCTGTTTCATCCCAACAAACAAACAATTCGTCTGTAACCCTTCAACGACCGTGTCCTCGCTTGATTCAATCCTCTAAGAACTAGGTTACTTGACGCGTTTGCCCAAAAACGATTAGCCGAAAGAAGTTTAGAAGTCAAATTTCCGTTTTATGGACACATGCAGCAAGAGTCTTGGGAAGAGTCAGAGAAGAGAGAGTAAGTAGAAAGAAGATAGAAGTGTGTGTTCTTCCAATGTTTTGTGGTTCCGAGGGTCGAAAGATGGGTTTTCGCTAAAGCGGCCGGTGCGGAACCATCAGGCGGGATGAGCGTCCAAAAAGTGCACGCGGCTTTGGCGCCAAGCACATGAAACACACCACATGTTCGGACCACTTTTGGGCGTTCAGGCTTCATTTTTTCCGGCAGGCGCAATGGATTTCTGCCAAACGTGAGGGCTTTGCGACACAAAAAAAAAGGGATCACAGCCGTGGGGCGATCAAAAAAAAGGATCTGCAATTCGATCAATTCGCGCGGCAGGTAAAAGAGACACCTCCAGCAGACATGTTAGGAGGTCAGGTGCCGCGACCTGGCCGCACTTTGCTGTAGCAGGCGCAATACTTTCGACAGATGGGATGGAAAAAACGCAAAACGCAATGGTACGGGGACCAACACCTCATTTTTGTAGGAAGTCTCGCAGGATTGTTTTGTTTTCACATCTTCAACTTGCATTTTGGCAGGGAGCCTCGTAGATTTCCTAGATTTTTACAGCTTCAACATCAAATGTTTGTAGGAAGTCTCGCAGACTTGTATCGCTGTTACATCTTCAACTTCAATTTTGTGGGAAGTCTCGCACAATTGCTTCCTTTTTACAGATAGATAAGATAGATAGGTAAATAGATGGAGACATAGATAAATAGATAAACAAATACACAAGATAGATGGGTAGACAAGGTAGATGGGTAGAAAGACAAACGGATGGATGGATAAAGAAAAAGATAGACACCAGACCGACAAGATGGATGAGTACACAGACGAGTAGATAGATGAAGAAAGAGACAGATAGAAAGGACAGAGAGATAGACATATAGACAGAGAGACAATGATTGGTAGATAGATAGATCGATAGATAGATAGATAGATCGATAGATAGATAGATAGGTAGATAGATAGATAGGTAGATAGGTAGATAGATAGATAGATAGGTAGATAGATAGATAGATAGGTAGATAGAGATAGAGATAGAGATAGAGATAGAGATAGAGATAGAGATAGATAGATAGATAGATAGATAGAGATAGATAGAGATAGATAGAGATAGATAGAGATAGATAGAGATAGATAGAGATAGATAGAGATAGATAGATAGATAGGTAGATAGATAGATAGATAGATAGAGAGATAGATAGAGATAGATAGAGATAGATAGAGATAGATAGAGATAGATAGATATAGATAGAAAGATAGAGAGATAGATCCAGATAGATAGAGATAGATAGAGATAGATAGAGATAGATAGAGATAGATAGAGATAGATAGATATAGATATAAAGATATACATAGATAGATATAGATAGATAGATAGATAGATACAGATAGATACAGATAGATAGGGATAGATAGAGATAGATAGATAATGATAGATAATGATAGATAATTAATGATAGATAATTAATGATAATTAATGATAGATAATTGATGAAAGATCATTAGTTATCATAGATAATGATAGATAATGATAGATAATGATAGATAATGATAGATAATGAAAGATAATGATAGATAATGATAGATAATGATAGATAATGGTAGATAATGATAAATAATGGTAAATAATGATGGATAATGATGGATAATGAGGGATAATGATAGATAATGATAGATAATGATAGATAATGATGGATAATGATAGATAATGATAGATAATGATGATAATGATAAATGATGATAAATAATGGTAAATAATGATGGATAATGATGGATAATGATGGATAATTATAGATAATGATAGATAATGATAGATAATGATAGATAATGATAGATAATGATAGATAATGATAGATAATGATTGATTGATTGATTGATTGATTGATTGATTGATTGATTGATAAGATTAGTTAGTTAGATAGATAGATAGATAGATAGGTAGATAGATAGGTAGATAGATAGATAGCTAGATAGCTAGATAGCGAGATAGCGAGATAGCTAGGTAGCTAGACAGCTAGATAGCTAGATAGATGGATTGATGGACAGGTGGATAGATGGACAAACAGACGGACAGACAGACCCACTGCGTGCACCAACCATCAGGGCGACACTCCAACCATCAGTCGATCCGTCAGCGGCTTGCTCCGCCCATGCAACTCAACAAGCCAACACTTCCTATAGGTGTCCTATCTCGAAACTTCTGCCACCGCCTTGCGCAGTACTACTGGTATCTTCTTTGCGTCACATGACAAGTTCCACAGTATTAACACGATTCCAAATGATCATGCGTTCCAGCGTACGACTCTATGCATTCAAGATATTCTCCCATGGAATTTATCAAAGTCTTGAAAAAACCTACTCGTAGTAGAAGGAAATGAATGTCACAGATTGTCACTGCCATGCTTGGCCTTTTGTTGGTGCGTTGCCGAGCCACAATCGTCCATGGGCATAATCACGTAGTTTTCCAACATCGTCTCATCCACTTGGCCGTTCAACACATTGGGGCCAAACATCAGCTTGCCTCCGGCCATTTCGGAAGTACAGTTTGTTGCCACAAAAGCGGACGTTATACTAAGTTTATACACAATGAAGCACTGTTACAGTCCAGCAAGGATCAAATGCCAAGACATTTTCATAAAAACTGCGATTCCAAGGAACATGGATTCAATCGAAAACTCACAACCTGTGATGCCGAAGAATCTGCCGGTCTTTTTTCGGGACCTGCAAAGCTGTTGAGGCTGGTGTCTGTGTCCTCAAACTGTGCTGCGCCTCAAGGCAGATTCAAATAAAATGCGGAACACATTTGACAGCATAAAATTCACAATAGATGGACACAATATTAATATTCATTGAAACCCTACGACTTTGGGGGCCAGGGGGTGTATTGGATGGACAAGGTTCGAATATTGCATCCATCTACTGTGGTGCATCGCACAGCATCAGAACAGCTACTTTCGTTCACTGCCGATGCCCACCCAAGACCTTTGAGGGTGCGACAAACACGGCACTGAATGTAAGCATCACTGGCATACCTTGGAATACGAGAGGCTTTGGCCGGCTTTGGCTGAGTTTTTATCCCATCACACTGTCACATCGAAAAAAAAATGATGATTGGACCTTCCTGGCCGATGATGCATCCTAGTGCTGATCTTGATCCGGTGGCGGGTGCGTCGAGTCACAAATATGATGGCGCTGAAGTGTTAGGACAGAAAAAAGTGTATGTTCCGGCAGCCACACATTTGCTCAGATCAGAAGCGCTCCTTAGGGCTGCTGCTTTGCTTCTGCAGAAGCACCATCGCACTTTAAATTGCACTCAATCGTCACAAAATTCAGGCAACAAGCTGAACAGGCAAGAAAGAACAGGCTGAAGGCTTAAGGTACGCAAAGTCCACAGTTGCACCTGACCCCTTTTTCAATATCTTCGCCATGGTTCGAGGACCCAAAGGTCACGGAGCAGCTCTGTGACTTGGAGATGCCTCAGGACGCTACAGCATCCGGATCGATCAGTGGAGTGAATCAGCCGAGGCGCCATTGCAAGCCGAACTGGCAGCAGTGTTCAAACTACCGAACTCCTGCAGTTTTGCGAAAATTCACATACTTCACACCATACAATGTATATAAATGGGTCTCCATAAATGGGAGCTACCCCAAAATAGTTGGCTTATAATCGAAGATCCTATAAAAATGATTAAAAAAAACATTTTAGGGAAACATCCATTTCACTTCTTGTTCTGAATCAGAACCTGTCATGAAGACGTCCGAACGGTGCGGTCCTCACCGCTCTCGCTCAAAGTGAACGGATCGAGGCAATCAACGGTCGTGGTCCTTGGCCATGGCAGATGCCCAAACATTACGTGGGACAACATTGGATCTGCTTCACAAGGCAAAAATATGCAAAAATGCAAGCAGGCGGCGATGAGGTTGTTGATGTCACAGTGGCCTTAGCCGCTTTGGTTTATACTGCGGGTTGCACATGGTTGCATCATGATCACTTGAGGTCAAAGGGAAGGGCCGAAAGCTGGTCTGGAGCCCCTGCAGCAGTTGCCACTATGTCGTGTGTCATGGACACTTTCTGCTTCCTGTGTAGGTCGTGCTGCGACTTGAGCTAGAGTAGCTAGAGCTCTTCCTGGCAATATGATATACACATATGTGTGGTCACACACACCCCATGAACTACCTCCAACAGCTTCTTCTATGTTTTCTTCTCTTCTGGTCACTCCAAATGGTCAGGCTGTGGGAAAGGGCCTCACAGAGAAAGCCAAAAACATCGCCAAAACCCTGGAAAACCAACAAAACAGATTTAAAAAAAACAAAAAGACTATATTTTGAGACTCTTTGGAGAGGGCCCCAAACAGAAAACAAAAAACTCGAACAAAAAAAAGTATTTTGAGACTCCTGGCTGGACCTTCCCCATCCCCAAGATCTCTAGATTTTTTCGATTTTCTCCATGAAGGCCTTTCTCATAAAGTCTCAGAATAATAGTTTTTCATGTGTTGGTCATTGTTTTTTGGTCTTCTTGATTACTTTTTTGACAGTATTTTTTGATTAAGATATAATTTTAGGAGCCGATTTCTGGTTTCAATAAAACACGATGTAACCTACATATATGTACAAATCAGAACAACATTGAAATTGCAAATATGTATATGTTAATGGCATTTACAGTGTTTTGGAGGTGACATTCATTGTTGTTTTCAAAGTATTCAAATGTGGTCAGCGGCCCAACATATGGGGGTTCTGGAGGGGGACGGTGACCATATAGCTCAAGGCCCCCCTCCAAGACCCACAATTTGTTTATATACTGTTTATACATCAATTTGTTTATAAATATCAAATACACCATTATATATATATATGTGTGTGTTATACCATTATATAAACATTGTATGTACATGTTTTTGATTTTATCTTGTTGTTTCTTTCATGAGGTAGAGGCAGCAGAGTAAGAATACTGTCTTGATTGCATTTAATATACAATGAATATACCTGTATTATAGCTTCAATATACCTTTAATATACCATTTTACTGACCATGAAAATATATGCTTTAATATACCATGTGTATACCTTGAAAATACCTTTTAAATACCATCTAATACCCCTTTCATATACCTTTAGTGTCATTTAATACACCTTCACCAAACAATTTGATATAGTATGAATCTACCTTCAATATACCATTTCATGATCGACCTTGAAAACACCTTTAATATCTTTAGCATACCTTAAATTTACCGTAAATACATGTATCCTTGAACCATTTAATAATTATACAAGTACTTGCCAGCGGGCTCATTACCGCCCCACAAAACATAACCTTTCGTCGGGTTGCTGTTACGTTGGGGTGGGGTGGGGTGGGGCAATAACGTCCATGTCATTGCGTGCTATACGGATGCGGTGCCACGCTTGCTACGTCTTCCAGTAAGATCTCAGACGCTGTTGCTGCTACGTTGGGGTGGGGTGGGGTGGGGTGGGGCAATAACGTCCATGTCATTGCGTGCTATCGGATGCGTGCGGTGCCACGCTTGCTACATCTTCCAGTAACATCTCAGACGCTGTAGCTGCTACGTTGGGGTGGGGTGGGGTGGGGTGGGGTGGGGTGGGGCAATAACGTCCATGTCATTGCGTGCTATACGGATGCGGTGCCACGCTTGCTACGTCTTCCAGTAAGATCTCAGACGCTGTTGCTGCTACGTTGTTAACTTTTCAAGTCAAATGTCAAACGCTTTTGATGCTATGCTTGCAACGTCTTCAAGTCCCATGTCACAGGCGTGTGATGCTACGTTGGTATTTTTTCAGTTCACATGTCCTATGCTCTTACTTTTCTGGTGTTTCTGTCTTTTTTGGGTTCTATCCTTCTTATGGTCTTTGCGTTACGTACTAACCTAGACGTCATATACATCCCGCTGGCTTATACATGAACGTTAACGCTCTTTTCCTTAATAATTTTGGATCCTTTAGAATGGGGTTCTGGTCGTGTTAGATGGATAGGTTTGGGAAAAAACATAGTGAAACATACAGCAGAGACCTTGAAGAACTTGTAAACTCACCAGAAGTTACTCGGCGCGTTTTTGGAGCAAAAGTGCTGTGAGGGTGCACACGTGGAAACTAGAAGGACCCTTTTTTGGAGGACGTTTTTATTCTCAAAGTTGGCGTCTCGCTGTGGCGCCGTGAGCAATTGGACAATTTTTGTGGGCCGGTTTCGAGTCCACCGGGAAGTACTTGCAGTATATCGTTTCATATAACATGAGTATACCTTGAATATACCCTTATAGTCCTTTCATACCTGCAATGTACCTGTAGTATACCATTTAATATAGCTTTAGTACACCATGTCATTTATCTTTAGTATGCCATGTAACAGACAGTGAATATACCTTTGATTCACCTGCAGTGTACCTTCAATATACCATCTTATTAACTATGAAAATATCTTTTGTATACCTCTACCTTGAGTGTACTTTTACTATACCTCTAAAATCCGTGCTATTCTCCATGTGATCTGCCTTGAATCTATTTATCTTGAATACACCTTTTAATGCATGGAGTGCATGTATAGCTACCCATTTCATATAGCATTGATATTTGGTGCCAGCATGATAAATTCATATACTGGCCTGTGGTAAAGCTCACGTGTATCTTGGCCATCCTTTTTTGTTGCAATGGAGACATGTGGTGGGTAGACCATGGGGGGGTGAGCATATATATATATATATACATTAAAAAAACACATCAATATATATATATATGATTTTCATATATATATATGTATACATATATTATGTTATGTTATGTTATATCATATTATATAATATCATACTATTTTATATCATATCATATTATAGTAAATTAGATATACATATATTATTACACTACACTAGATTATATCATAGTGTAGTATATTATATTAAATTACAGTGTATTATATTATATTAAATTACAGTGTACGATATTAAATTATATTATCATATAATAATATTATATTATATTATATTAAATTAAATTATATTAAATTAAATTAAATTATTATATGTTATATTATATGATTTTGTATTATATTATATTATATTGTATTATATCATTTTATTATATTGAACTGCATTATATTATATTGAATTAAAAAAATATATGTATTTTATATTATCTGAAATATATTATAAATAGATTATATGTTATATAATATATTTAAAACACAATAAATAAAATATATTATAAATTCTATATTTTATAGAATATATTATATATCAAATATTATATATGACATATTATATTATATATTATATATTATATATTGTATGCTGTAAATGAAAAAATGTAAACTATATTAAATATTATATAAAATATATTATATATTAAATACTATATATTATAAATTATATATTATATATGATATATGATTTATTATATATTATAAATTATATATTATATATTGTATGTTAAATAGATATATATATTATGATATATTATACCTTAAATACATATCTGTTATACAATATATTATATATAAAATATATTTATATTATATATAAAATATATATATATCATATATTATATATTATATATTGTATATTGTATATCATATATTATAGATTCAATATCAAATTATACATCATATGTTATACATTATATATTGTATATATAAATTATATTTCACTATACTATATACATTACATTGTTTACAAATACATTATTCCATCAATTATTGTACATATATATATAATGTAATAATATTAAATTAAATGCATTACTATATACATTATTTCATATATATATATTGTATTAAACAAATATATTATTACATTACATTATACTATATTTTATATTATATATAATACATTACGTATTACATATTTTATATTATATACATTATTATAGATAAATTATATCATACATATATGTATATATACATATTGTATTATATATATATTATATTACATTACATTATGTCATTTTTTATCTTATGTATAATACATTAAATATATTATTATATAATATATTAAATATTATTTATTATATTATATATATATTACTATATATTAAATATTATCATATATATATATATATATTGTATTATATATATATATGTTATTTTATACTATATTTATAATATATATTAAATATATATATTATCTTAAAATTATGTGTGTATATATGTGTATATATATATATTTATATTTATACCGTGTTGCATCCTGTTCTTTTCATTGTATGCTGGTAGGGCGCAAATATGTCTGAAAAAAATTAGGGGAAAACAGAGAAATGGAGAGTAGATCAGAACACTTGTTGGAGCAGCTCATGCTGCATACATCCTACATATGGTGACATTTCTTTCATAGCTTTGCTGGATACAGCCTCTTTTCTAATCTTGCTCATAGTTTTGCTGGATATACCCTCTGGCAAATAAACATAGACCCTGAAAATCACCAATTTTAATGGAAACTAATCTTCCAACCCCTTCTGCCAGGGTCTATGTTAATTTACTGGTGGGTACTATTTCCCTGTTTTGCTCGTAGGTTTGTTGGATATCTCAATGCGCAAAGCGCCCGTCTGCCGTTCTGTTTCTTCGGATCTTGAACCCCGAAAAAAAGTACCAGGGCGCCCTCGACATGAGATCTACAGGCGACCTGCCCCAATCACATTTGCTAAAGAAGAGCTAACTCCAGCTAGCAAGGTAGCTTTCGTGATCAAGCTACGAGTATTATGCAAAAGCATCTAGACTGCTTCTACTGCATCTATTTATCATCCATCTATCCATCTATTTATCTGTGTACATTATCCACACATGGATGTGAAAAGGCAGCGCAAGAGTACTGCAATATCAGTCGAAAAGTTCAATCTCTTTTGCAGGTGGGGTGTCTCTATCACGGATGGACATGCAAAAAAACAATGACTTTTGAAAAGCCTTGGACTGCCCGAGTTGCAGTACTGGTAGTCACACTGGTTGACGTTCCTGTGACCGATGTGCCTCGGACCACCACGAACACTGCGTCCAAACACACCCCAAACACACCCCCTTTCGCCCCCTCACAAGGTTCCCCTGTGTTTGCAACACTAGCCGCTACTGTCTCAGGGGTCGAGTCTCACGAACAAGCAGAGTGAGAGAAAGGCTTTTGAAAGGTTCCCCTCCAGCATGCCAGCAGTGCCAGCAGTGTCAGTGTAAGTTGCCGAGAGCTCTCTTGTTGCTACCAAGGTGCTTGTGAGTGATGTGGTTGAGATTGATGTGGTGGTAATTGTCGTAACTGTCAAAGAAGTGCCTTGCCAAATCTAAATGCTTCCGATGGCAACTTGTGCAAAGAAGGGAGCAAGTGAAAATAAGTGAAAGTGCGAAGGAATTCGACTTATTGTGGTTTCCGTTCAATTATCCATAGTATATATACCGTATTATAATATATATCATATATATAATATAATATATATATATATAACATATTATAATATATGATAATTAAATATAATTAATATCAAACTTGGCTCACAGATCGAAAAAATCTCATGGCGACGGGCCAGCATCGCTGAAGAGAAACCTTTTTTTGTTGTGACGTGCTGTGCTGATGCATCTGATTCTATGCGGCTGAGCCAAGCACAAAAACATAAGCAGCTTATCTTGGCACATTATCAAAAGCATGGCAGATATGGCAGGCTGCCCTCACTTTGCGGATCGAAAGTTTCCCATGCGATACTGGATCGACCAAAAATATAGGCAGGCCTGTTTGAACATGCAAAGGAAATTGGCCAAACCTATCCAAATGTCAACGAGACTTCTGCTTGACACACTGCGTCAACAATTCGCCCGCAACAGCCCATCTCTTTGAAACATGTTGAGAAGAGGAGGCTCAACTTGCCCCAACATAGAGCCGACATGATGAACAAAACAAAGAGGGTACACCGAGACTTTGTGTGTTCCAGTACTGCTGTGAGCCTTCGAATGCAAACAACAAATTGACTTAAATGTTTACAGAATTGACAAGTGTTTACAGAACACAGCAGAACCGGAATCTTTCACATCTTTCACATCCTTTCACCCCTTCCAGTCACTTTCAAGTTTGTGGAGAGGCGAGAATGGAGGAAACAGCTTCAGTTTGCTCCAAGGTGCTAGTCTGCGTAGTTTCTGTGGTGGTCATTGACGTGGAAACAGTCGCCGAAGTCGTGGTGTTCACTGATGTAGTTGTCCACGTTGTGACAGTCCCGGTGGTTGATGTGGTTGTGATTGTGGTCGCTGTCAGTGAGGTGGTTGTGATTGTGGTCACAGTCACTGAAGTTGTTGTCTGCGTAGTGACCGTGGCTGTGACAGAAGTGGTGGTGAGAGTCGTTGCAGTAACGGAAGTGGTGGTAACAGTGGTAGCAGTCGCTGATACAGACCTAAGCGCGCCGGCCTTTACAAGCCCCATCCAAAACTGACCATTTATAACAAGTAGGCTTCCAACATTTGGCTATTCTAAGTGAACATGTATCTGGGATGAACATCCAAAATCATCAAATCACCAGCTCAACGCCATCTTACCTATAACTAATCAACATACCCACAACCTGAAATTCTGCATGCTAATAGTGATCAGCTACGTGATCTCATAAGAAAACGGGTTACATATCCAAACTCCAGAGTTCCTATGCGTTCTTGCTAAAGGCACGACTTTTGCGAAACACACTTCCCCAAGGTACAACGATTTTTTCCTAAAACAGGTACGACTTTGTCAGATGCCTGTTTTTCAACCATCCGATTTCTTGGGTGCGCAAATCATGACCAATGTCCCGAATGCAGCCTGGGGGACGTGGTGGTAATCGTTGTCGTTGAAATCGAGGTTGTTGTAATCGAGGTTGCTGTCATTGACGTTGTGGTCTGTGTTGTGTCTGTATTACTTGTGGATGTCGACGTAGCCCTCGGGTAACAAATCATTGCCACAAGGAAGGGACTCGCTAATAGCTAGCAACACGACGGGTGATTCTCTGAGGCAAGGGCGTTGCGGTCGCTGTGGTTGTCGTAGTGCACAAATCGCTATCCATCCTCAGAAAGAGATTGAATAGCTGGAAATGTGAAGCTTCACGTCCTTCTTTCTAGCTGGCAATGCCTTAGAATATCTCATTCTGCCCTCCTCTTTTTCATTCTGCAAGACAGCGGTCATGCCTTGGAAGGATGTTTTTTTTTCAGCCCCATGCCCGACAGGCTGACATCAGGGCAAGTCTCGTCTTCACAAGCATGCCGGGCATGGGATTCATAGTTGAAAGAAAGCCACTCCAACATGATGTCCTCAGCGAACATCGCACTTGAATGAATGCACTTGACATGTGACTGAAGGACACAAAGATCAGAAAGACTTAAATGACTTCTGTACATGTTCCATGTATTTCCATGTTCTGTTTCACTTTATCTGCACTATTTAAAAAAAAAAACAGACAACTGAAAACACCCAACGTTTCGCGCGTGATCTCGCCAGATCGGCCGGGTCTCGTAGTAGCCGCAGGCCACAGGAAACACCAAAGGCACAAGGCACGAAGCATGGCCCCAGGAAGCACCAGTTGTTCCTGGGATGTGGTGACTTCAATTCCAGGGTCGATGTCACGATGTCACGATGGTCAGATGTCAGATGTCAATTCAGTATGGAAAAATTAAGTGACTCAACAGACCAACAGACTACCCTCTGGTAAACGTTTACATAACTATGGAAAATCACCATTTTTAATGGGAAAATCCACTAAAAATGGTCATTTTCAATAGCTACGTTAAATTACCAGAGGGTAACAGTCCAGTGATCTTCCTGAATACAGGTTTTTTGAGCATTTTGGACACAGCTCAGTCACTAGGCTTCGGACCCTGTCGAAAGAAAAGGCTGGTCGCGGCCAGGCACAGGGAAACACAACTCCACACCCCACTTTTTAGCCGAAGATGCCATGCAACATGCAACATCATGCAACATCATGCGATGAACTCAGAAGAAATCGGTGGAAAAAAAATTAGACCTGTCTTCGCTCTTCCGATTCTCTCCCTGTCAAATAAACATGGGTAGGAAGAACATCATGAAATCATTCGCTGGTGGGTGGTCCAAGTCCGAATCATGTGCTACACAGCTGCAAATTCTTCCCAGGAGAGCTGTTTTTGTGATTTTTTTGTGAATCCCAAAGATTCCAAGCCCAGAAACATCCCAAAAATCTCTTGCACAGTTTTGCACAGCTTGAGTGATCCAATTTCACCCCCCGATTTCGCGGGTGAGTCACCCGTGCCAGTTGAATAAGTCAGTGGTTGAACATGCCATGCTCGGCCGCTGTTCGGCTCCGTGTTCCGTACATCAACAGTGCAACTAATTATCTCGCCATCCTCAGGGTCGATCGACGTCAATATCCGTACAGCAGCTGAAAACCTCTTGGCACAGCCTCTAAACGCGTGTGCTCCAGCGAACATCAGACCTCATCTGCGATGTAGATGTGACATACACAGCTCTAAGACGGTCTAAGAAATGTCTAAGATGTTCTATGTCTTCGTTATCTTCGTTTTCGCTTGATGGAAAACGTCTTCAAAACGTGTTCAAAACTGCGAAGTGACGTTCAGAAAAGATGGTGACCTCACTACCCTCTTAGGCTCCAACCAAATATTCGCCTCGCAGAAACATCTTCAAACATCAAGCATTAAAAACAAAGCGGTCAAATCAGTCAAATCCATAAATCCACGAAATCTCCATAAATCTCCATAAATCTCCATATCTACCAATAAATCTCTGTAAATCTCGTAAATCCACGTGGCAATCCACCTCGAATCCATTCGGCACTTGCTTTTTATTGCTGCTCGGCCGAGTTTGGTCTTGACCTGTCCTGAATCTGTACAAAGATGTACAAAGAATACTCCATTCCCTGGATTCTAGGAATATGCGCAATATTCGCAAGCGCCCAATTCACCAAACTTTGGTTTTAGGAATGACAAGACATTTTCCGTGCGCATAAAGAAAATGCCACGGTAAATATATTCCACCCACATGGACTGCCAGAATCCACAGAGCTGGTCGAGCCCCTCAGCGACTCAGCGCCAGCCTTGAGCATCTTGAGCTCATGCACGTTGATTATTAGCTTTGCAGAGAAGTCCCACTTCTGCACTCGCAGAATGACTGGAAATAGGACCAAAAATGACCAAAAGCCATCACAATTCACAATTCTTTGGTTCAAATCAGTGCCGCCAAAAAAAACAACGAAAACGTCTGCGCTGGTCGCTTGGTCCCACAATGAGGTCGGGTCCTAAAGCATCTGCCCGATGAAGTGTCGCTCATTTTCGCCCAACAACCTCACCTCATGCCCATCTCTGCATAGCTGCCTCAGCTTCGGGCGACACCCCGGTAACTTACCTTGATAGGATTTGATAGGATTTGATAGGTCCGTACGAAGCAACAGACTACTGCAAAAAAGCGGCATCAAAGGAGTCAGCATCACTGTCCGAATCCTCAGCTTCTGATGGACTATTCAGCTCAGGAATAACACGTTAAAATATGTTTAAATGAATCGAATCAGGATTTGATGTAGGCTAGCAGGAACCAACTTTCCGGTTCAAAGTCTTCACCTTTTGTTTTTGAGGCAAAGTGTGCCAATCTGTACTCACACTTTCTTCCAGGCAGCATATGCATCCTCGAAGTCCTAGCGACACAAGTCTCCGGTCTGACCCTGTCCCTATTGGCTCTATTCTGATTGTGGCGACTTTATCGTATAAAAACATGTAAAAACTCAGTGGATAGCTGTTGTGGATAGCCCAGTGGGATTGGTTTAAAAGTCTAGCACCTGCCAGCCAAGTGATGTTGCCTTTACACCTGGCAAGCTTTCTGTGCGACACAGGCGATGCCTCCAAAACACTGTGCGCCAGCAGCAGCGTATCGCCATGGCCCACACCAGCTTGGTGCAGTGTCACATGGTGCCTCAAGAAATTGTTCGATGCGAATTGTGAAGTCACAGCTGAGCTGGTAAAGTCAGAAAACAATACATGGTAGTTTCCATACATATCTGGTACCACAATAGCTGGATGGTTCATGGAAAATCCCCATCTAAAATGGATGATTTTGTTCAGGGTACCTCCATTTATAGAAACATTGCTCGATTTTTTGCCCTGCAGCTCTCCATCCAGGGTCCCCCAGGGCCATCCACGCTAGCGGGCGACCAGCAAAGCTCAGGCAAGCTGGCCTTGAAACACCATTTAAAAAATTCACGGCAGTAGGAGATTCACAATGCAAAATGATGGCAACTGATCATGATAAAACATGACAAAAGATGACAAACTAACCTCGGTGCGCTGGGAAGCGGGAATGTTTGGGGCCTTACACTTCACAGTTTTTTTCGGCACGCAGAGAAGCTGAAACATCGCAACAACACTGTGGGGATCTGGCTCGACACCAACATCATCCAATAAAGCAACCTCCGAGCATGCTACCCTCTGGTAAACTAACGTAACTATGGAAAATCACCATTTTTTATGGGAAAATCCATTATAAATCACCATTTTCAATAGCCGTTAGTTTACCAGAGGGTAAACAGAATCATTTCGTATCGTGTCACAGTACACTTGGAAAATGGGCGACTCCATGGCACCTCCGCCGCAACTTGAGCTTCAAGCACCGACGTCAGTGCTCCCAGCCTGTGGGATGGTCACAGGTTGAAGCCACCAATGGTGGCCACCAACAAGGCTGTATACCCTCTAGTAATTTAACATAGCTATTGAAAATGGCCATTTATAGTGGATTTTCCCATTAAAAATGGTGATTTCCCACCAAAAAGCATTCCAAAGCTCACCTGATTTGTACCTTCTTTCCAGCAGCACGCCCACCAGCATCCTGACAAGTGACTGACAAGTGACTGATTGACTGACATTAGCGAAAGGGGAACAGCCCCTTTCGCAAGCGTCCGACCACCAAACCCTCCTCCGGACGCAGAATGTATAGGTCGTACTCTGTATCTTGCAATCTGGCCTGCCAGCACGCAGCTACGTCAGTTCTGCAACACCCCCACAACCGACCCTGCGCAGAGCCTCAATACCATGTCTGTGCCGTGGAGCTGTCGGGTCATTCTCCGTGGGCAGCAAGTAAAGGACTACTGCCTGCAAGAACTTTCCACGTTAAGCAACCAGCAACCATCATTCACATCGTAGTTCCCCCCATCCCAGAAGTCTGTTCCAATGCTCTGGGTATGAGATCTCACATGGTCCTGCCTGCCCTTGAGCACCTAGCACCTCGATAACTGGAATGGAGTCATCCAAGCATTCATCCTGCAACAGAAACGCTCGGACCCGCAGGAGCTGCTTGCAGCGGTATCATACTGTATCAAATGATGTTGGTTTGAGTTCACATACCCTCTGGTAAATTAACATAGCTATGGAAAATCACCATTTTTAATGGGAAAATCCACTATTTCTATGGTCATTTTCAATAGCTATGTTAAATTACCAGAGGGTAACTGACAGCTCATATAGAAGCAAGCCACATACCACTTAGAGTCAAGTGCGCGCGTGACTTCGTGTCACCGTGAAAAACTGAAACTGATGTGGCAAACACCAGAGTCCTCCCAATCTGGTGTGCACTGCAATCGTTGCAATTCAATTGGTACACCAAATTGCTTCCATATTTGCCTTTTGACCTGCAATCCAGCAGGAGACACCAGTCCAGAGTCCAGTGTGGCATTCCCAGTGTGTTGAGAAGAAATTGGCAAAAGAAGTTGGCAGCAGCTTCAAGAGATCAAAAACATCAGTGGACTGAAAAGACCATGTCCCTCTCTCTCTCTGTGTTGTCTCTATGTTAAATATAGGTCGCTCTGAAAAATGATCAATTTCAACACACTCGTGCTGCAGGTGTCATTTTACAGTTGCCTCATGCGCAGTTGCGCTCTCTCGTACTTCAAGTTGCCAGTTCTCTTCACCGGAGTGAACAGTGATGACCTAGCAGCTAGCACATCGTCTGACGGATCACATCGACGGAATATATTCAGAATATTCATGTGATTCAGGGCTTGGTAAATGTCCTAGACATCCCCCAGCTATTGGGTATATGATCTCCAACAGCTACTTGAAGTCATGTTCAAAACCCTCCAAACAGGACATTTACAATATACTATGCTCACATGACATGAGTGTAGTGAAAGGTATTTTAAAAATCACTATTCTTATGTCATCTGCCAAGTGCGCTTTTTTGACACAAAAAAATAGTGCACATGTCATCTGCTTTAGGTACCAAAAGTACCATGCCTATTTTTTGCGATAGGATAGGTTTGTGTTACGCCCGCCCGCCGAAACATATGAGCTCATGACATGCGATCTCCAGCCCATCTGAAAAAACACCGGAAAAAATACGTATGAAAAACATGGGTTTGCCCTATGACACCTTTCATTCACGTGATATTCACCTGTATGTCATGTCATCACATATACGGTTGCGCACCAACAATACACAAACAAAATGCACACACGCAAAGCAATGTGAAAATGATGAAATAGATGGAGAAACCTCATGACGCCTAATGATAGAATAAAGAAATAGGTGGGGCCGACTGCACCCCCTCTCCCTCTCCCTCCTCCCGTCCCCTCCACGGAGGTTCCTTTTTGGCAATTTTCTTGTTCGATGGGTTTTAATGGACGATCTGGCCTTCAAGCAAGATTGTAGACAAACAAAAACAAAAAATTATCAGGGAAGACGTAAACAAAATTGTAATTGTAAAGCGGTTTTGGCCACGGTTCACCTTGTGGTGACGACACCAGGACCCCAGAGTACATGACATGAGCTCTCAACTAAAGACACGGGTAAGCTGGTTTTGAGTGGTAAATGAAGAAAAGCGGCTGGGCATATTTCTCCAAAAGCAGCAAAACCAGCAAAAACACCAGAAAACCAGCACAAAGTTTGAAGACAATATATCCAAAACACATTCATAAGACATGTTAATTATGCCCAAAATGTCCAAACACATGCACAACACATTCAAAACGTAATTATGAAACAGACATAAACAAAGGGGTAGGAAATTGTTTGGGGATTTTTTTTTTTTTAGTTTGGGGAATTTTTTTTGGATTTCCGGTTCTCACCATTTTCCATGCTATTTGCAGCATTTTGGAGCTGGAAACTGCCATTTCCACGGTATGTGCAACGGTTTTGAGTTCGAACCTCTCATTTTCCATTGTATTTTCCACGGTATTTGCAACAGTTTGCAGCATGTTCTGTCCATTTTCCATGCTCTTTGCAGCATTTTTGAGCTGGAATCTGCATTTCCACCGTATGTGCAACATTTTACAGCTACATTCCTCACAGTACTTGCAGGATTTTGGAGCTGAAGGCTGACATTCCAACAGTTGTTTGTTGTTACTGTTACTGTTGTTGGTGTTGGTGTTGGTGTTGTTGTTGTTGGTGGTGTTGTTGTTGTTGGTGGTGGTGGTGGTGGTCGTGTTGTTGCTGTTG